GGCCTGTAGTTGGACGGGTCAGAGCGCACAAACGCTACCTTCCAGGAGTTCCAGGAGTTACAATTACCAATACCTATTCCTATTAATTTTGTGAAGATGACGGAATAGAGATATAAGAGATGACGGAATATGTTTATATCTGTAAAAATTATACATCATATTTTTAGATAAAAAGGTCACTTTTCAACCTCATTTGGATCATATCATTAACAAAGCATCTAAGGTGCTAGGGGTTGTTATAAGAAATGTGTTCCGTAGGCCACAAACCAAGATACTTTTATTTAACACTCTGGTTAGTAGTATACTCAAGTCGAGCGAGAAAGCGAGTGGTCCTACCTGTTAGGTCAGCCATCACTGTATATTATAAAGCCTGTAAATGTGTAAGCAATTATAAAGAATATTGGCAGTGTTCACCAAAACTGATGACCTTTTAAAGTTATTCATGACAATCTAAGAATGGTAATTTTATATGAGCAGAAGTTATATCGCTTCCAACGCTAGATGTCGCTATGGGATGACGAACTGGATGTAACTTGAAAGCAATCCGGAGGGATGAATAATCAGAATTGCACCGACGCACTCACATTCATGAGTCAGCTAGTGAAGTCAGCGAAGTGCTACGATTTTTGAGCATTTTAGACCTTAGAGGCGGTGCATTTTGTTTGATTAATTAGGTACCTCACGAAAATCCTGTGGGGCATTTAATTTATTTATTTACACGTCATTCACATTAGGTGCATTGTCGGAATTAAGCCTAGGCCTAAGGCATTCTCTACCAATTAAACATTGTGTGAGGCAGAGAAAACAGGAAGTGGGTGCATTTTTTCCTCAATCACAGTTAATATCTCAGCCGGGAATGTCCTACCTACAACATCGTATCGATATTATCTTAGTGAATATGTAACAGATATTCCGTTTTTGATATGAAATAGTTACATTTTCATTATTTCAGTAAAAAATAGTTTAATAGTTGGTATTTATTTTAATGTTTAATCTTCCTTGAATTCAGAATTAACTCGTAATCAACTTTCTCAACTACTTTAACTAGAAGAGCCAGAGACTTTATCCCTGTTGCCAAGACTTTTAATAAAATCGAAGACTATTTTAGGGTTACATAAAATATCTATTTTTGCTTCCGTGATGGTCTCTGGTCATGGTTCAAGCTCTGATTAGTTTGGGTCTAAAAATCGCAGTGTAGAATATTTTATTAGTTTAGCAATTAGAGTTTAGTGCAATGCGTCCTAGTATTCCATACGTCTCTGCATCTACCTATCCGATAGCTTTGTAGGCATAGTCGAAGTTATATACGTTTTAAAGTAGAGATGAATTACGAACACTTTGAAGCCAGCCCGAACGGATGTCCGGCGTAACGTGTCCTCGAAATATCCACATTCAAAGTCTCATTGTTCTAGAAATGGGAGCGTTACGAGTAGACTGATGACATCATTAGTCGAAATGCACCAGTCAATAGCAATACATCAATACGAGGCGGTAGTTAGTCGAACGTGTTTGTTGCTGTCACACATCGTCAGCTAATGATTAATTTACGTAACGACTGCAGTTAGGCTACTATTACCTAAGGCTAATAGGCTAGTGGCCTGCGGGATTCCGGGACCCGGCGTCGCCACAAACCCTTCAGGATGGACAGTGTGACTTACCAAGAGATTCTAGTCATTGTACTTATGAATGTGTGAGCAACAGATGCCTTGACGAATGAATAATAATAATATTCTACCACATTCACACAACGCCATCTAGTCCCAAACTAAGCAGAGCTTGTACTATGGCTACTAGACAACTGATATAAATACATTTATACTTTTTTTTGTAAATACATACTTATTATACATAGAAACACCCAGACCTAAGGCCGAATTAGCACTACTTTTACGCCGTTCGCTCGTTCGGTTTAGACAAACAAACATAGGTACACCTAAAAATACAGGTTCCAAAGCGACAATGTACTTGATCGATTAAAATAACAAGTTGCACAGTACATTTTTTTTTACAAACCATACAATTAACAAACAAAAAGGAAAAGTATACACTGACTGTAAATTAGTTCAAACTTAACTATATATATAAATAAATAATCATTAATACATACATGCGAAGAGTAGTTTAGTTCGTTTAATAACAAAACATCACCACTGTGCACCATTAAATGTGTGCCGTCAGTGAAAACATCGTGATTTCACACTACGTAACGTAACGTTACAGCGCAGATAAAACTGTCTGCCGGAAAAACGTACGTAAATGGAGATTGTTCAGTTTTACTGTGAGTTTATTTTTATCTTTGGATACTTGAATGAATGTGTACTTACAGATTAAAGATATAAAAAGTATGAACATTACGGCATTGGAAACGAGTTGATATCTAAATGTATAAAAATAAAAGTTCATCTCACAATGTGCTGATCGAAAAATTCGAGAACCAACTTGTCTTTTTTTTTAAATGTTTATTGAAGTCAAAGGAAAGTTCTCATGAGGATAAAAAATTGCGGGATTTTTTGTTTACCTGTTGAAGGGTGATAACTTTTGTCAGAATGACTATGGTCGAGGCAGCTAGTATAACATATAAACCAATATTATTTTTAAGTGACTTCAAAAAAAGGAAAGGTTTTATGTTGTTTTGATGTATCTTTCTCAAACAATTTAGGTAATTCTAGATAGGTACTGATTCTGAAATAATACTTACATTGTCACTCTATGGTCTGTACGTAGGTAGGTAGGTACGTGCGTTTCTTATCTTTTACGTCTTAACCTCTTAACCCGACCGAATAAAATGATGTTAAAAGAAGCCCGATACGTTGGGATAGACATGGCTCCTATCACCTACAGTTAGTTTATTTACTGTATACACAGTAGGGGTTGTGAAGAAGTTCCCGAGCACGTGGCACCGAGCTTGTAATATCTACGAGTGGGCCGACTTATTATCGCCGTCAGCTGAGCGCGCGACTCCGATTACATTCATTGAGGTAGGCACGACCCGCTGCCTGCGAGTATCGACGTGGAAATGGCAACGTTGGTGATTATTCCTAATCGCAACGTTACTCATTCCGGCCAGATCACCTAAAATAGGAAGACATCATTTATCTCTGTACGTCTACAGATGGGCCTTCACGTGCCAAGTTGTTAATTAAAAAGTTATTATTGAAATGGTGATTCTGGAAAGGGAGTTCAACTGGATTGATTCAAAGGGAGTTCAAGGCCAGTGACGACTTAACGCAAGTACCTAGTAATTAGGCAAATTTATTTCAAATTGTACTGTTAAAATTTGAAATAGTTTTAAAGCACATCTTATTATTTACCTGGTTATACACTCATAATGCTTTTACTCAAAACACAAAGAGCAGTTCATCGTGCACTCAGCATACAATAAAACAATGGTGGTTAATCTCAGGTAGACAGTACGCATGGGCAAGGAGCTTGGATAATAGCGTCAGACAATTACGCTGATGTACCTACTCCTTTACATTTCCGTGAATAAGTCATTAGTGTTCGATCACTTGTCATAACTCTTTAAACCTAAAATATTTATGGAAGTAGATAAAGTACCTGCATTGTTATTACTTATAATTGTGTAGCCTGTGTAGGTATTTGAGGCTAACAGGGCGGCACGCGGCCGACAGGTTCCCACGGTGATTACACATTGATATCCTTTCATCCTAAATGTGTTCAGAATAAAGTAAGTTTGTGGTTTACAAATATAATGAAAAAATTTACAAATATAATGCAAAATCTAGTTATAGAACCTCCAGTAGTAGGTAGGTACGTACTATAATACCCACCTAATACGTAAATAGATAAATACCTACTATGAGTTAGGTACCTAAGTTTAGTGCCTTCTGGGGTTTACACTAGTGACGCAGAAAGATTCCGAAACAATCATGAAAGCACACACCATCATTATCTTTCTGACATTCTCCCAGTTCCATTTGGGGTATTGCTACGGGTTTTGTTTGGTTTATTTTATAGTCAGCTGCCTACCAGAGGCCCAGTCACCTCGGAAATATACCTTATCATTTTCATGACAAAAAGGAAGAATGTGTCTAAATTAGGTTAAAGACGAAAGAGCTAGGGTAAGGGTTGCCACAAGTTTGGTATGTGGAAAAGTAATTGAAACTGCAGCAGTTCAAGGCAGCTGGGTTCGCGTGGCCGTGTGTCCATCCCGGTCGTTATGAACTGAATATTAAATTACATCTTGGCAAATATTTAGAACAATAGCGAGTAGTAGCGAGGCTCACACATTGGCCTATCAACTTAACTTTGCATCCAAGTATAATTGACTTTCCTCAGTTCATTAACGCGAGATCTGAGGTCTGCTGATCTCCATGTTCTCACCTAATTTGGTATTTTGCCTGCACTTTTCAGGGTGTAAACTTGAATATTAGGTGTCTAGTAATATCCAATGGCTCTACTAGAATGTCGAATGATAGAACGGAATAAAGAAGGCATAATAATTAATAAACTAATTAGGTATACTTATTAAGAATGAAATTCCTTTATTGATAGGTACAACGGTAACAAGAAACGGCCCACTTGATTGAACACCTTTCCTGGGTCTCAATTCTGATATTTTATGTTCACGCCAAGCCACTGTCATACCACTGACACGCTATTGAGATGCCATCGAGTGGCCATTGGCATCGGTATAAATATCGGTCTTCTAGTCAAAAAAACTTCCATCTTGTTTAAATACTAGGGATGGGTAGGTACAGTTGGTTAGTAACTAGTTGTACCTAATGGTTCGATACAATCAGTTTGAGAACTTACATATGGGGTTAGGTTACGGTTCACCACCGCGGGGAGTCCGAGCAGGCCACATACGGGTTAAATAATGCTTGTTTATTTAACGCACACATCATTGTCGAGGACAATAACGTTGTGGCGAGTCTGTGACACGTCCGCTCCTAGGGTGGAGGGTGCCGGGGCTGCGGGGTTGTATGCGGGGGTGTACGCTGTAAATCAGTTAACGATGATGGCTCGTAATGATTTGTTTATTTATGTTTGTTGACGTAGCGCTCGCGCGCCGCGGGGCGTCCCTCGCCTCCGTCGCTTTGCAACAACAACAAGTTTTTCACGCAACACGAGTTAAGCGGATACTTGGAACATGAAAAAAACTGGGGACATCGCGATTTACAGCTCTTTTACCGCTAATACGATACAATTTATTGATTCCTGGGATGCACAGATCCCGTTTTCTCGTGTCACAGCAGTGATTTGTGACACTCACATGTGCGTTAGACATGTTTATAGGACTCGGTGTTCTCATCTGGACATCCTTGAAGGAGAGCGGCACCGGACTCTGATTGCGTCTGTTATCGAGTGTTGCAAATAGGGCGCGTGTGGCGGTGCTCGCGGTCAGTAGTCGGTAGCGTAGGTCGGGAGATGTTGTCAAGATAACGGCGGAGGCGGTGACGCCGGCGCACGTGCTGATAGCTCTTATCTTCGACGACGGCGCGCACCGCAGCCCGCGCACCGCCCGCCGCCGATAGCGAACAGCTGATCGACGTACACAAAGCTCCCGCCACCACACCTCAACCCCTGTCTTCGTCACCTCACGGACAAGTGTGCCACTGTCCTCGCTGTCCTCTACAATGTCTGCAGTCATTTGTTTCTCATAACCTTAACACCATTTACATTCTCTTCTCTTCCCTGTGGATTCCTTTTACAGTAGTTCATAATCCCTACTTATTTAACATCCGGGAATAGGACAGTTGAATTAATGAAGTTGATATACCTAAGTTATTACTGTCTCTATCGCGAGTTTTAACAAACGGATACGTACCTAAGTGATACCTTGGTAGGTATTTCAAAATTCAAAATAATAATAATAACCGCACACATCTCACACACGGCTGTCTGAGCCCAAACTACGAAGAGCCTGTGCTATGGTAACCAGACTACTGATAAACATACTTATATATTTCTAAATACATGCATATTACAGATAAATTACATCCTGACCCAGACCAAGAAAACCAAACCACAACCCATCAATCTATACTAAACCTTACTTGAACAGATTTAGATTTCAGTTATATCGTCAGAAACTGGTAGGTCCAGTGAGCTGTTATAGCACCCTTCTATTCTTATTGGATATTTCCGAAAACGAGTGATAGGAAGGGCGGCGATGTGTTCTATTGTATGCGTAGGGCGGCGGGGATGCGTGCGCGCAGTGACCATTTCCCCCCCCAGCGCCGCGCCGCACTGAGCCGCCGCCGTCAGTCAACGAACTGCACGCGTAGTGAGCGCACGTCACGCGCTCCGGCAATTAGTGAAACTGTGTGAGTGAAAACAACAGAATGCTACACGAGACATGGCACAAGATGGAGCCCTACGAGATCGACGCGCTTTTTGCTGAGGTCAACAACAACTGTATCAAAGGTAAGTGCTGCGAACTTGTAGCCCCTTACGTCAATACATAACCTGCCCGCCAACTGGAGCCGTCTGGTGAAGGTTCCTGGATATCTGAAGGAATATACAAGCTGGCAGAGCCTGCAGGTCGCGAGGAGTATTGTTCTGTGTGTATACAAGTGCATATGGCTTATTATCAGTTTCTAAATTGTTTTGTTTACATTGGTATCAGCGGCGCTGATAAATTAATCAATTGGTTGTATAATACATTTGCTTGCGCTGTGTACCTACATAGGTATACATATGTACAAGGCTCCAGTAAGGAGAAATAGCTGCGTACCCACCTCCTTCGTTACACTGTACTTTCTATTTGCGTATTGTTTGTCTTTATTATGAACGGACATTGTAGGTGCAATGAGTACCTTTCTACCGACATTAAAAATAATTATTATTTTCAATTCACTTTATTCGTTTAACGGATGGGCTTCTAAGGTAGGTAGGTATGTGTTGTGTGAAATACACCGTAGGTACCTACACGTGTGTATATACAACAAACCACAACTACATGCGTGGGGTACCTAAACAATACTATAGGTAGGAAAATGCTGTGTGATTTCCGCTACCGTTTTAATTTGTTCGTTCATGGAGAAACTTATATAGGTAGGTATAATAAGACTTTTAGAAAGAGAAGGAAAACTTGAAATAAACCCTATACCAACCCGTCTGGCCAGCGTGGTATAGTAGGCCAAAACCCCCTTTCTAAGGAGAGATCTATGTCTAGCAGTGGACTATTAAAGACTGTTGATTACAAATGAGACTCTTCATAAGAACTGATTTAAGTATATGCATCTTTTGTTTTTCACCTACTGCAGTAGTTCTCAAGCTCCTCTACACCTTCTATTGGACCCTTATTGGATTTATTTTCATTATTCCTTTTTTTTATTAAAATGCTTTAATTTGACAGTTTCAAAAAAATCTGTTGAACAAATTACCGTCTGTGGTATTTTCGGACCGAAACGACCCTCAAACCTTAAAGAAAACAGCGTCCTACCTCAAAGGCCGGGAACGCGCTTGTGACTCCTGGGTTGCATGCGTTCATGGGCAGCGGTAGTCACTTTCCATCAGGTGACCCGTCTGCTCGTTGGCCCCCTTTCGTATGATAGATACATTAATCCTTTAAACACGTTAAAAGGACTTTCTATTCTTTCTACATATCTTGTCTATTCACACATTCGCAATCAATTCTATATATATTATGTCTAATATAGAATTGATTGCTATTTATCAAGCTTAGGTACGTATTTACGCTACAAAACACTAAAATGTTGACGGTCCCGATGTGTTATGAGTACTTAACTAGATATTATACATAAGTGTGTCTGTGGCGGTGTTGTATGTATGTATGTGTCAGTCGCGGGGCGGACAGCGTCGCTTTCGCTGCTCGCTATCTATTTGGATGATCACAAATGTAGCGGTGGTGTGGGCCAATGAGCGCTCGTGTCTGTGAGTGTATGAGTAACGCGGTGTGCGTGTGCGCAGAGGACGAGGCGGAGTGCGGCGCGGAGACGGCGGACAGCCCGCCCCCCCTGCCGCCGTTCGGCTACGCCCCCGGGGACGTGTCGCCGTCCCACTCGCGCAGCTACCAGGAGCTGCGGCCCGCGCACGCGGCGGGCGCGGCACACGCGCGCGACATGCAGGCCTACGCGCACCTCGAGGAGGCGCTCTTCAAGGGCGGCTCCACAGACGGCGCCTACATGCGCCGCTCCAGCCCCGACAGCCCCTCGCCCGAACGCCGCGACGAGTATTCCGTCGTGCACTACGAGCCCTACACGCCGCAGCCGCCGCCCTACGCGCACGAGCACCACCATGTCGACTCGTGAGTACCCATTTAACCACTATTTACTACATAACGCGGCACCCTAATCACGTTTAAACCGACAAAAATAATGTCAAGCAGCTTATTTGTTAATTATTGTTGGCGTTAAATATCTTACAACGTTTTAATCCGACGCATTGACAATTTGTAACAGCTCGTTGCGGAGTGCGCCCGCGCATACTCGCCATAGTGACGCGCCCCGACCACAACTAATGACATTACACATTAACTGACGTCCACTTCACCATCGTTCTTGTTCTCCATTTCTATTTTAATCGTTGACTGTCAATATTCATTTAAATTTATTAGACTAACCTCGGGCACTAGGTAGGTATTTTGTTTTGCAACGCCTACATAAATAATAAGTATACCACTGACAGTCTGAGGTCCTGGATTCTAATCCTGCCCGGGCTCTCATGAGATTGGAATTTTGTCCATTCGTTAAAAGAAGCTACGATGCTTATAAGAAATAACGTATTCTAATAACCGAGTAGGCGCCGAGACCGAGGTACTTTTACAAAGGTCCGGCGGAGATGTGAGCACCAAGCACTATCTACCACCAATCTATATATCTAACTATTCAGTTGCTGTAAGTAGTACGTACGACTACACTGACGATGTAGGTACATAGCTAATGTTACGCAATCTAATTTGAATATGTTCAAGTGTGGCGATGCTCCCCACTTTCTATACTCGTATGTCACAGCGCAGACAGAGAACAATTAAGTTACCTAATCGCTATTTCGTCAACACCGGGTGAGACGAGTGGCCTTCACTTTTAGAATACCTAAAACGTTAAAATAGAACATGAAATGTAAACTAACAATATTTTTCACTAATGATCGTCAAGTTTACACGTAGGTACCTAACTAATTATTATGTTGGCTGTTCACACTGTACCTCTTGGCACTACAAGACTGGGACATCAACGGGTGTCCCAGTTTTCCAGGGACAACCTCCTACTAGTTATCAGTTAGTACGATACCAAACTACGGGAAAGCATCCGATATGGTCCTATTTATAATGGGCGTTACCAATCTTAAGATTTGTTTGATAACGTTTCTAGATACATTGATTTCTTGCATCATTAGCACTATTCGGAGAAATAATGATCTCAGATATTATGCTCTCTACTCAGTGCTCGTATTATTTAATTATTAATTTTAATATTTTGATGCAACGATAACTTCTTGGTTAAAAGTAAGTTTTTAATTTTACCCGTCTCGGTCACGACACGAAGAAAAGTTTTATGATTTTCAATAGTATATACACCATCTTTATAGCTATCATCCTTTTCTATATTCCCTAAAAGTAAGTTGTGTAATATCATTAGATATGCTATAGGTAGATATTATATCAACGCTATGACACTAAAGTTTAACAACGGCCTGAGGGGTCTCCGGACCCCGGTCGGTACGAAGTTCCTTTCGCTTTGCGATATTATATCTCTCGTATACTATATTATATTTCCATTAAGAATGTTATTGAGAATAGGTAAGTTATAGTTACTAGGTTAAGTTTTTGATTTAATTCGTTAGAAAAGTCGCACATTTTTAATAATATAAATAATTCAGTTTATTTTTCGCTTTTTAGTGTTTTTAGATAGGGAGTTTTTGTTTGATGTTTATTTTAAATCGGATTATTTATTTTTTCTATAAAATTGTTTATATTTCCATTTTTACTGTAAACAATCATAGGTACGTAGTAGGTTGAACTACTTCATATAAGTCGCGAGAGATAGCAACCTACGGAAGACGACCACCTTCAAATGTTATTCCTGCTGATGCGAATAACTGTGGTGGTTTGATGCACGTATTGAAACTGGGTATAGGCTCCAGAGTTATGTTTAGTTGTGTTTTATTTCTGTTACCAAAGGGCCTGGTCCAAGTATCTTATCCAAATCTAAATGGCTGTTCTTCGCCGTGATCAAATAGAATCGGGCGAGTTACCCAATTCAGTTTTATAAAATATATATGCTATACCCTGCCACGCTTCTCTGTGTCACATTGTGGTAGCAAAAAATATAGAAAAACCATCTTTGATAATACTTATATCAACTATATATGTATACATATACGATGACGACTCTATTGCCACAAAACCCTAAGCGCCTGTGTCAACGGTTGTTGACACAGTGCAGGTGGCTAATCCAACCCTCAGCTTTGCATGTCTTTTCTTTCCTGTACATTAAAGGTTAATATGTCGGCATCTTAAAGTATTATCTAACTTCTAACCGTTGAGGAGTTTTACCTTCCATCTTCAACTCATCGGAATGACTTGAAAGAATACAACTAAAAGTCTGAACATATGGTATTTAAAGAACTATCCTCCAAATCCTAGCCGTTTAAGAGTCATCACCAGGTCATCAACACGAGATAATGACTACCAGACGTAAATACTAGAATAACTTCAGAAAATATATGAAACATAATACGTGCCTATAAAATTTGATTACCCTGGGATCTCCTCATCAGATCCTGACTTCGTGACAAAAAGACTACCTCAGGACTATGCTCTTTCTAATAAATAAAGAATTCTGGAAATCTGTAAACAATTAACTAAGTAATTGGTGAACATACCTACATTAAAAATAATACATACAATGGAACATAGAGCCTCCTTCTTTTTGAAGTCGGTAAAAAAAACCGCGATAGTAATATGGCTCTCTCCTAAGGATAACCCACAGTAATCATTTTTAATTTTTTTTCGTCCCGGGTGGCCGCGGCAGGCAGGATCGGAGCGGGTCTATAAATATTGCATGTAAAGATGTCCTGTGGTATAGTCCTATCATAATAATAGTATAATTAATTACTCCACACTGACACCACATTAGTAGTATTAGTAGCATCTACATTGCACCCGTGCGAAGCCCGACGGCGAACGCAGCGACGGCCACTTTGCCCCCGCATTTTAAACCTCTAATATCTACTAAAATATTCATTATAATGATATGCTGTAAAGAGCAATTGCAATCTACATTAAATGCAACATGCCTCACGTATTTAATTGAATAAGGCATAATAATGTATTCTTTAAAATAGCTTCGTAAATAAGACCATATTTTTTTGTAAAATTTAAAAATATAAAACTGGTTTTCGTGGTTTATCCTTAGGAGATAGACATATACCACCGCGGACTTTTTTGTAGATCTTTTTAAGATATACAATTCCATAGTAGGTACATTATTTTGGTCTATCTCGTAAGGTTTAGTCGGCGTTTGCAATGTAAACGCACAAAAACATATTTTTTTATCACAAATCTTAGAAATTCTCGGATTTAATCTAGTACAATAAATATGCTTGTATTATACATATAAATACAAGCAATTTCCTCTTGAATCACTCTCTCTCTCTCTATTGGTGAAAACCGCATTTAAATCCGTTGCTTAATTTAAAATAACTAAGTAAGTGCGTGCGTCGTATAGTAAAAGTGTCGGAAAACAAGTCTTGTTACACATTTTTTTGTCTAGCTGCCATCTGTTCACAGCGTGTAACTTAGTTCCAAAAATATATGTTTTCTCGTCGTCCGTTGGTGCTTTTTTTTTTCAAGTTTCACTTAAATCTGTCCTAAACCAAATGGTTTCTACAACTTACTGGAATACGAGGCCACTTGGATGATAATTAGCGATCTCATTTACTAAAAAATATAATCATATCAGAAATTACAAACATCTGCAGTCAAAGTCTCCTATGATCAGTAATAAATAGTTGCCTACCTATTGCTTATTTAATTCACAGTTCCTGTCTAAATCTAAATGCAGCAAGGGGCAAAGATGTCCTCAAAGCCACCAAGTGATATGAGGATTCACGTATGCCTCACGGGCGACTATCCTGAAACTTTTCGGCTTATGTACCTATGCTGGTTATCGCGGTAAAAAGCCTACTTCCTTCCTCAAGAATCAAACTATCTCCATACCAAGTTACATCTAAATCGGTTCAGCAGTTATTGATTCCCCAAACAAACTTCCACCCCCTTTTCACCCTCTTACAGGACGATTTCTGTAATAAAAATTATTCCATGTTCTTTCTAGGAACTGAAACTATCCCTGTACCAAATTTCACCTGAATCGATTACCTAAGCGGTTTAAGGGTTAAGAGGTAAATGACAGATAGACAGACAGACAGACACACTTCCGCATTTATAATATTAGTAGGGATTAGTAATTCAGAACGAAAGATAAAATCAACTTAGATACCTTTAAAAATTACTGCTGTTTGACTCAATACTCTTTGTGGCAAAAGGAAGTTAAGGAAGAAGCATATTCTAGTGATGCATTCCTTTGTTTTTAGGTTTAGTCCTCATACAATAGACGTACCTATCCCAGGATGACCAAACCGTGACCACTACCGACTCCGAGGTCCGTAGTAAACAGTCACGGTTTGGTTTAGGATTTAGAAAAACTTAAAGTTGAATCTAATAAGACATATTCTTTTTGAAAAGTAAAATTTTATTTATTTGTTTAGGTTTTATTTGTTAGGGATCCTCTGAGAACTGGGTATATACTACACTATCTGTGGTGTATGTATATATATCAAAATATTCAATTAAATCAACACATGATGACACATCAGGTTGACATGAAAACATAACAAATCTTACAATAAAATTATCTTAAACAAAATTTAGTTTTTATAAGATAAAACTTACATTACGAATTCCCATACATTCCCATTCCCACACATATCTACTTTTCTTTCAAATCAGTAAAATATTTCCTTAAAAGTTTTTTTACATAAAATTTAGCATTATTGTTTTTTAATCGGGTACATTGTTTTACTTAAGATAACGGCTTAAAACATTTACATATACCTAGATAAACAATAACTTAATAAAACATAAGCTACATCCCACACAAAGGGCCTGCGTTATTTCCCATGGCAGTAACGATACACCGCCTGGCCTCTTGCTGTTATCTCCTACCCGATCTAAACGTAGCTAAGACTGAAAAGCCCGCGGTGACCGATTTCTTTGCTTCAGTAGGTACCCTTTATATAGTGTAT